CTGTTTTCTTGGGTGGGCTTGAATGATAAAGCCCCTGACTGGTTCAGAAAGTGGTTTTGAATTGTTCTAGGGCAAGGATGGTAGTAAATAGTTTCATATTAAAAGGAGACTCTAAATGACTAGTAGTGGCTTGCCCATTTGCAAGTCAGTCCAGGCCCAGATTACCGTTATCACTATGGATGTCATTTTTTTGGTAAAACTTAATATAAATGGAGTCCTACAGTACATCCTCTTACGTCTGGCTCATTTCACTCGGCATAAGGGTTCTGAGATACATCAGCATTGTTGCTTCAATAATTTGTTCCTTTTGCTTTTTGCATAGCGTTCCATTGCATTAGGAATAAAGCTGCTGTGAACATTCATGTACAAGTTTCACTGTGAGCATGCCTTTATTTCTCTTTCGTAAATACGTAGGAGTGGCATTGCTGTGGCATATAAGTGTATATTTAACTTCCTAAGAAACTGTCAAGTGGTTTTCCTAAGTGAGAACCAGCTGCTCCATATTTTCACCAACACTTAGAATTACCAGTCTTTCAAACTTTTACGTTCATGTTTTTTACAAATCTGGCTTTTGAGTATATCTAGCCATAAAGTGAAAAAGACTACCACCGGAATCCTGACCTGCATATATCTTGACATAGTCTTTTCAATTTCAGCTCTTCTAGGGAGACTGTTGTGCTATCTTACCGTGGCTTTGATTTGCATTTCCTCATGACTAATGATGTTGAGCCTCCTTTCATACGCTTATTGGTCATTCATGCATCTTCCTTTATGAAGTGTTTGTACAAATCTTTTGCCTGTTTTTTAGTTTTTTTAATTAATGAATTATAAGAGGTCTTCATAAATTCTTGATACAAGTGCTTTGTCAGATATATGAAATGCAAATATTTTCTCCCACTCTGTGACTTGCCTTTTCATTTCCTTAAAGTATCTTTTTAAACTTATTTTTAAAAGATTTTATTTATTTATTTATTTGAGAGAGAGAGTGGGTGTGTACACAAGCAGAGAGGGAAAGGGTCAGAGGGAGAGGGAGAAGCAGGCTCCCCACTGAGCAGGGAGCCCATATGGAGGCTCCATCCCAGGACCCTGGGATCATGACTTGAGCTGAAGGCAGACGCTTAGCCAACTGAGCCACCCAGGTGCCCCTCCTTAAAATATCTTTAAGAGATAAGTTTTTAATTTTGATGAAGATCAACTTATAAATTTTTCTCTTATAACTGGGGTATTTTGCATTGTATCTAACAAATCTTTGCCTTTTCCAAGTTTAAGATAGTCTAAATTTTCAAAACTGGAACTTTTATAGTTTTAGCTTTCATGTTAGGTCTTTGACCATTTTTTGGTCTTTTTAAATTTTGACACTATTTTGTAGTTTTTAGTGTACAACACTTATAAATATCTTGTTAAATGTCTCCCTATTTTATTTCTATGCTATTTTAAGGGGTATTTTTAGTAATTTTACTTTTTAATTGTTGCTAGTATATAGAAATAGTAAATTTTTTATTTTGGCCATCCATCCTGCAATATTATAAATTCCCTTAGTAGGTCTAGTAGCTTTTTTTTTTTAATTGCTTAGGATTTTTCTACATAATCATGTCATCTATGGGTAGAGGCCGTTTTATTTCTTCCTTTCCGATATGATGTCTCTTATTTCTGTTTTCTTGCCTCATTGCCCTGTCTAGGACCTCCAGTACAATGTAGACGAGAGAGTAAACATACTTGCCTTGTTCCAGTCCCAGAGGGAATGCATTCTTTTACCACAAAGTGTGGTGTTAGCTTGATTTTTGCAGATGCACTCTGATTGAAAAAGTTCGTCTATTCCCAGTTTGCTGAGAGTTTTTAATGAGTGTTGAATTTTGTTCAATGCTTTTCCTGCATATATTGAGATGATTATATAGGTTTTCTTCATCTTGTCAATATGGTGTGTTTCATTGATTGATTTTTTGAGGGTTAAACTAACTTTGTATCCCTCAGATAAAATCTGAACAATCTATTGTGATATATTAATATTTTTTTCCTTTTTCCTGGATCTTTGTGTTACTAGTGAAGGGTTTTTCTGTCAATATTTACAAGGAATACTGGCATAGTTTTTTTCTTATGTCTTTTTCTGGTTCTGTTGTTAGAGCAATGGGGGCCTCATGAAGGTAGTTGGGAAGTGTTTGCTCTTTCATTTTCATAAAGAATCTGTGTAGGGGGTGCCTGGGTGGCTCAGTCAGTTGAGCATCTGACTCTTGATTTTGGCTCAGGTCATGATCTCAGGGTTGTGAGACTGAGCCCCTAGTTGGGCTCTGCGCTCAGTGGAGAGTCTGCCCCTCTGCCCCTCCCACCACACACACACATGCTCTCTAAATCTTTTTTTAAAAAAAGAATCTGTGTAAGGTATTATTTCTTCTTTAAATGTTTGATAAAATTCAGTGAAGTTATTTTGCCTCAAGTTTTTAACTATAAACTTTTTAGTCTGTTTTAGCATTTTTTTTTTCAAGAAATTGTGTCTAAGTTCTTAGTCATATTTATTGGCATAAACTTCATATTTTCTTCATTATCTTTAAATGTCTGTAGGAGCTTTTGGCTTTCGGCTTGGGGCGGCAAAGGTGCAACTTTCTTCGGTCATCCTGAATCCGGGTTCATCCGACACCAGCCACCTCCGCCATGCCGCCTAAGTTCGACCCCAACGAGATCCAAGTCGTGTACCTGAGGTGCACCGGTGGCGAAGTTGGTGCCACGTCTGCCCTGGCCCCGAAGATCGGTCCGCTGGGTCTGTCTCCAAAAAAGGTTGGTGATGACATCGCCAAGGCAACCGGTGATTGGAAGGGCCTAAGGATTACGGTGAAACTGACCATTCAGAACAGACAGGCCCAGATTGATTCCCTCAGTAGGTCTAGTAGCTTTTCTGCCTCTGCCCTGATTATCAAAGCCCTCAAGGAACCACCAAGAGACAGAAAGCAGCAGAAAAACATTAAGCACAGTGGAAATACCACTTTTGATGAGATTGTCAATATTGCCCGACAGATGCAACTCCGATCTTTAGCCAGAGAACTCTCTGGAACCATTAAGAAATCCTGGGGACCGCCCAGTCTGTGGGCTGCAATGTTGACGGCCGCCACCCTCATGACATCATAGATGACATCAACAGTGGTGCGGTGGAATGCCCAGCCAGTTAACTACAAAGGAAAATGTTTCAATAAAGGATCATTTGACAAGCAAAAAAATAAAAATAAAAAAATAAATGTCTGTAGGATATGAATAATAGCCCCTCGTCCACTACTGATTTCGGTAATTTATGTCCTTTTAAATTTTTCTCTTGGTAATTCTACCTGAGGTTTGTCGATTTTTTTGATATTTTCAAAGTAGCAGTTTTGCCCTCACTGGTATTCCCTATTGATTTTTTTTCCTGTTTTACTTCTAGCTTTATTTCCTCCTCTTTACTTACTTGAATTTAATTTCCTTTGTTTTCTAGTTTCTGAAGTTATTTAGACCTTTATTCCTTTTTAATAGAAGAATCTAAAGCTGTAAGTTTCAGTCTAATCACAGCTTACCTGCATATGTATTTTTATTTTCATTCATTACAATATATACATCTATTTTCAGAAGGCTCCATGCCTAATGTGGAACCTGAATTCATTACCCTGAGATTAAGGGTCACGTACTCTACCAAGCCAGCCAGGTGCCTCTACAAAGTATCTTCCATTTTCTCTTGTATCTTTTCTTTGACTCAGTTTGTTTTTTCAAGTTTCCTATGTTTCATAGCATGTACCAATTATCTTCCTTTTATTGATGTTTTGAGTTCTGTTATTGACAGAGAAGAATGTTAAATCTTTTAAATTTTCTTGAGAATTGCTTTATGGCCCAGCATATGCTTCATTTATTTCATGTGTACTTGACATGAATGTATATTCTGCTGTTGTTTGGCGGAGTGGTCTATAAATGTCAATTAGGTCAAGTTGGCTGATTGCAATGTTCTATATATTTACCGATCTTGTGTTCTTCTTGTTCTATCAATTAGTAGAAGTGTTGAAATGTCTGGAATCATGTATTTGTCTATCCTTTTAAATTCTATTTCATGTATTTCAAAATACTGATACTATGTGCATGGCATGTCTTCTTGATGAATTGCTTTTGGTTATTATGGCTCCCTTTATCATTGGTAATATTCCTGATATTAATACAGCCATTCCCAATTTACTGATTAGGGTTTCCATTATATATGACTTTTCCACCTTTTTACTTTTAGCCTATCTTCATCTTTATATTTAAAGTTGGTTCCTTGTGAACAGCAAATACTTGAGTTCTTGCCTTTTCATTACATTTGAAAATATATATATTTTTGGAATGTTTAGATCATTGATTAATATAATTATCAGTATGATTTGGGTTTAAATCTATACTCCTGCTATTTTTTATTTGTCCTATTTGATCTCTGTTCTTTTTTCTCCTTGCATTCTATTGGGTTGACTTTTTTTTTTTAATAATTCCATTTTATCACTTCTATTAGCTATTAGCTATTTCTCTTAATTTTTAATTTTGATATTTAGTGGTTACTCTAGGGTTTACAATATGCATCTTTATCACAGATAATCTTCAAATAATATTATCACTTCACAAGCAGTTTAAAACCTTGTCACAGTATACTTAATTTCCCCCTCTTGTCTTTTCTATTTGTGCTATATTTTTTACTTCTACATCTATTACAAACCACACAATACTTTTTTATTATTTTGTTTTAAATTTATTCATACACATTTAATAGGATTATTTCCATTGCATACATTTTCAACTGATTTTTACATTAAGCCAATGTGTCAGGTAGCCATCAAAAATCTGTAGTTCACTTTATATTCTAGCTTCTTAGAATTCAGGTTTGTAGTCCAATTTAGACTCTAGCTACTTAAATCAGCTACTTCTGATTGCTTTCATTAAGTCTTTCTATACTACAAACGCATGAGCAGCATGGATTGTGAGTATGTAAATTGCACTGCTTCAGTGCCAACATTTTTCAGGTCTGCTCCATTAGAGCCATCTGAAGGCTTCGTAAATGCTTCTACTAATCTATTTAACCTTGCTTATAGATAGATTGTGTATCTTCTCTATTTATCTGGAGACAGCAAAGCAGGATCCACTGTGCTTGTTTGTAGCCATGATTATTTTAACTGTGCAGAGTATCATATCCTTCCATTTGGGTAACTCCATAAAGTCCTCTGAATCTATCAGCTGAAGTACTTCCAGGAAACCAGTATCCACCAATGGCATCATTTTTTATCCATAAAAATAATGCATGACTGATGATTCCTGGTGTAAACATTTCTCTGATCAAATGAGCACTTTCACCAATGTACTGGTCTACATTTAAGAAATTGTATTCCAGTTGGCTAACAGCAGCTCTTGCTATTGTTTTTCTTAACTATTGGCCCATATAACAAACAGCCTTTTGGAGATATCCCTATAATGCAATAATTCTAGGTTTTAAGAGGTAGTTCTATTATTACCTCTGAATTCTCTGATCTGTTCTGATAACCCCTCCACTTCACAAAAGGAAATATTCCCTATGTCCTTAATGAGACATGTTGTAAACCAGTGGATCTTGGCAAATATCAATGTAATCAGGCAAAACAACTCTTGTTCCTGACCTCAGCTTACTTTTTTCAAGCTGACAATGACAACTGACAACATATCTTGGTTCATTTAATAACGAATTTTTCTTCAGTTACCTTCTTAAGTACTTCATAAACAGTTTGCCCAGATTTGGGTGATTGTAGTCCTTTGGATCATTTTCAGACTTTTCATACTGATTGGTAAGTTCTTTCAATTGTTCCCTTAACTGTTTAAGACAGTAGTTGATCTTCTTGTGCTCCCCCATCTTTTCTTGTGATAGCCTTGAAACTCATTATCTCTATGGTCTGCCATGATGAGATACCATCACTCATAGGGGATGCCAAGAATGGCCATGGCCACTGGGGTAGGAGAAGAAGTGGAATGAAGGAGGAGAGCAGCAGTGGAAGATGGGGGATGAATGGCTCTGCTCATCCCAATTATCTTTCAAGCAAATCAAAAAAAGAAAAGGGGCACCTGGGTGGCTCAGTCAGTTAAGTGTCTGACTCGTGACTACAGCTCAGGTCATGATCTCAGGGGTCGTGAGACTGAGCCCCACATCGGGCTCCACACTCAGCAGGGAGTCTGCTTGAGATTCTCTCCTTCTGCACCCCCCAAACTCCGGTGCACATGCTCTAAAATAAATAAATAATTCTTTAAAAAAATACAGTAATCAAACCAGACATGGGTGTACCATCAAATTACCAGTTTTGTGTAGTAATTTCACTTCAAAGTTAAGCAGAATACAGAGTTAATCACAGCAAAATGCTCTCATGTTTCTACAATCAAATCTACAAACCTACCTGTATTTACTGCATTTTACCATCTTCCCTCGTTATAAATGGAGAAGGGTCCCTGATGTATTAAGGACTCATTTCTCTCTTGTGCTCTGGATCCCATTCAAAATCCTCCTCCCTTTATAATTTGCACCCTATCAGTCTTTCTCTTTTCTCATGGCTCACTCCATCAGCATATAAACTTGATGTAATATGTCCCAAATAAAAACCAAGAATCATATTTTCTTGCCCACTATCACTTTATTTTCCTGTTCCCCTTCATGGCAAAACTTCTCAAATGGTAATCTACACTTACTGTCTTTACTTCCTTACCAACCTTATAACCTCTTCAACCGAATCCAGTCTGGAAGCGGTCCTCCACCTATACTGAATTTACCATCAATTCACTGTGGCCAATTACAGTGAACAAAGCTCCTATTACTTAGTGCTTCAGTAAATAACATTCAAAATGATTGACCACGGAGCAGTTGGGAGGCTCAGTTAAGCATCCAACTCTTGACTTCAGCTCAGGTCATGATCTCAGGGTTGTGAGATGGAGGCCCCCTGCTTAAGATTCTCTTTCCCTGTGCCCCTCCCTACCTCTCTCTTGGGGAAAAAAAAAAAAAAGATTGACCACTTTTCCCACTTAAAACACATTTCTCTTGCTTTCATGAAACTCTACTCTGCTTGTTTTCCTCTTTCACTGATCACTCTTTCTTTGCTGACTCATCCTCTATCTAACCTCTAAATGTTAGATTGTCTCCGAACCTGATCCTCTATTTGCTTCCTTTCTCTAAAAAACACTTTGTTACCTTAACTATATCCATTATTTTAATTGATTACCTATGTGACAGCTCTCTTAGAAATATAATAGGCATCTCTGGAATTCTGTCTAAACTCCTTCCTCCTCCATAAGTAAATAGCTCATCCATCAAACCAAAACCAAGGAAACATCCTTTATTTGTTCCTTTCTGTCACACCTCCCATCCAATCCATCAGTTGGATCTGTTTCTACTTCTTTCCATTTCTATCCATACCTCTCTAGGCTAATCAGCAAGATACTTTCAGGGAATGAATGGTGAACAAACCAGTTTGGCTGGATTGGAAGGTTACTGTTGAGGAATAAGAAGAAATAAATCTAGGTAAGGCAGTTTAGGACCCATGTTGAAGGTCTTGGAATGACAGAAGCCTGGTTTATAAGGGGAGCAGAGAGAGTTATCCCTCCTGGGCATAATTCTCCTGAAAAGTGGTACTTTTTCAATAATTTAAAGTATGTTGACATAACAGTTGTTAAGAATACGATAAAACTGTTGTTCAACATAGTACTGGAAGTCCTAGGATGTAAAATCAATGCACAGAAGTCAGGTGTACTTCTATACACTAACAATGAGTCAGAAGAAAAAGAAATGAAGGAATTGATCCCATTTACAATTGCACCAAAAACCATAAGATACCTAGGAATAAATCTAACCAAAGACCTGTACTCTGAAAACTATAAAACACTTAGGAATGAAATTAAGGAAAACATTAAGAAATGGAAAAACATTCCAGCTCATGGATTTGAAGAACAAACAGTGCTAAAATGTCTATGCTACCCAAAGCAATCTATACATTCAATGCATCCCTATCAAAATACCATCAAGCAATTTTCACAGAGCTGGAACAAACAAACCTAAAATTTGTATGGAACCAGAAAAGACCCCGAATAGCCAAAGGAATGTTGAAAAAGAAAACCAAAGCTGGAGGCATCACAATGCCAGAATTCAAGCTGTATTTATGAAGCTGTAATCAATCAAGACAGTATGATTCTGGGGCACCTGGGTGACTCAGATGGTTAAGTGTCTGCCTCCGGCCCAGGTCATGATCCCAGGGTCCTGGGATGGAGTCCCGCAATGGACTCCTGGCTCAGCAGGGAGCCTGCTTCTGCCTCTCCCCCTGCTCATGCTCTCTCGCTGTATCTCTCTGTCTCAAATGAATAAATAAAATCTTAAAAAAAAAGACAGTATGATTCTGGCACAAAAAAAGACACAGAATAGAGAACCCAGAAATGGACCCTTAACTCTATGGTCAACTAATCTCTGACAAAGGAGGAAGGAATATCCAATGGAAAAAAGTCTCTTTAACAAACGGTGTTGGGAAAATTGGACAGCCACATGCAGAAGAATGAAACTGGACCACTTTCTTACACCATACACAAAACTAGACTCAAAATGGATGAAAGACCTAAATGGGAGACAGGAATCCATCAAAATCCTAGAGGAGAACACATGCAGCAACCTCTTTGACCTTGGCTGCAGCAACTTCTTGCTTAGACACGTCTCCAAAGGCAAGAGAAACAAAGGCAAAAATGAACTACTGGGATTTCATCAAGATAAAAAGCTTTTGCACAGCAAAGGAAACATTCGACAAAACTAAAGGGCAACCTATGGAATGGAAGAAGATATCTGCAAATGACGTGTCAGATAAAGGGCTAGTATCCAAAATCTATAAAGAACTTACCAAACTCAACACCCAAAACCCAAAAAATCCAGTCAAGAAATGGGCAGAAGACATGAACAGACATTTCTACAAAGAAGACATCCAAATGGCTAACAGACACATGAAAAAGTGCTCAACATCACTCGGCATCAGGGAAATACAAATCAAAACCACAATGAAATACCACCTACATTGGTCAGGATGGTTTAAATTAACAACTCAGGATACAACAGGTGTTGGCAAGGATGAGGAGAAAGGGGAACTTTCTTCCACTGTTGATGGGAATGCAAACTGGTGCAGCCACTCTGGAAAACAGTATGGAGTTTCCTCAAAAAGTTAAAAATAGAACTACCCTATGACCTAGCAATTGCACTTCTAGGTATTTATCCAAAGGATACAATCATAGTGATTTGAAGGTTCACATGCACCCCAATGTTTACAGCAGCAATGTCCACAATAGCCCAAATATGGAAAGAGTCCAGACGTCCATCAACAAATGAATGGATAAAGAAGATGTGGTATATAAATACAATGGGATATTACTCAGCCATCAGAAAGAATGAAATCTTGCAATTTCAACGACATGGCTGGAACTAGAGGGTATTATGCTAAGCAAAATAAGTCAGAGAAAGACAAATACCATATGATTTCACTCACGTGTGGAATTTAAGAAACAACACAGATGAACATAGCAGAAGGTAAGGGAAAATAAGATGAAAATAGAGAGGGAAACAAACCATAAGAGACACTTAACTCTAGGAAACAAACTGAGGGTTGCTGGAGGGGAGATGGGTGGGGGGATGGGGTAATTGGGTGATGGGCATTAAGGAGGACACGATGTAATGAGCACTGGTTTTGTATGCAACTGATGAATCACTAAATTCTACCCCTGAAATTAGTAATGCACTCTATGTTAACTAAATTGAATTTAAATAAAAAATTTTAAAAAAGAAAAAAAAATTATGGCAAAAACATGGTAGTGAAAGCACTGTGAAAATAATACCAGGAGACAGGTGGAAAGGTGGTCAAAGGATAGTGTCTTTAAAGGGTGTGGGGGGGTACTTTCTTCCTCTCCAACCACTACGGCAAGCCCTACATCAGACTCTCTTTTGATGTTAAAATATGCCTCTGCCTCTGTGTCTGGTGACAGTCTGGGGTGTTAGACTCCATGCTACAGGAAATGGGGAGAGATATAAAGCTTGAGCAGAAAAGTGATATGGTTAAAACTTTGCTATGGGAAGAATGACCTGACAGTGACATGCAGGACTGAGAGAAGATAGGAAGACTAATGAGGTTATTACGATAGTCTAAACATGAAGTTATTTATAAGGGAGTACAAAAGAAGAGATTGGTGAAGGAGACAATGAGAAGGAAAAATAGAAAGAGCTTGAAAACCATAATCAAAGGTTTTTACTCAGGGGTTCTGAGCTCTGATGACTTAAGGGAATTGTGGTGTCATTATTATGACTAAGTACATTAAGAAGGGAGGCTGTTTTGTGGAGAAAATATGGTAAGTTCTGCCTGAGAGTTTTGAACTGCTAGCTGTGAATAGTATTTACATATGGCTTTACTTGGTGTAATTCTCAGGATCATTCACCATGATACAAAAACAGTTTTGCAGCCTTGGTTGTAGGTTAACTCTTCCCAGGTTATTGATTTGATTCAAATATATTAAATATCTATTTGCTATATCATATACATAACTGATGCGGCTTCATTTTTTACCTACCACTTATATCCCTGTACTGCAAATTCATCAGCGTAACATCCTTTTAGAGATGTGCTGCTACTTACTGTTCTGGGGTTTTTCCCTAGATATATTTGCAAGTTGTCTTTTTAATGCTAGATACTTCTTAGTCCCTTCTCAATTAAAAATCCATTGAGGATACATCTGAACATTTTTGTTCACCAACAATGTTCAGCATAGTGCCTTGTTCTGTGTAGGTCCTCAAAAAAAGATTTGTTAAAAGATTAAATCAGTTTATGGTTTGCTTACAACCTTGGCATATTTCTTTAAGAATAAGGTAATTCAGCACATTGAGTATAATAAGCCTCAATCAGAGTCAAAAGACCTGGGCTCTAGTCTGGCTTTGCTCCTGACTAGATCCGTGACATTGGCAAGTTAAGGTAACTGCTTTGGATTTAGCTTCCCCAGCTACAAAATGGTTTCATCTAAATCTCTGATTCTTTTCTCACACTCCAGTAATCCTCCTTCATGAAGCAAATATTATGATGATTTTGGAAAACATGGTTCAGTTCCTCAAGCAACCAAGGTATGTCTAGACTTGAAAGTGTACAATTTAAATAATACTTCCTTGTCTTTTGGCAGAGTACTCTCAAAGGCAAAGGTCATCCAGTCCAAACTTTTAAAAAAATTCATTTACTTTCAACTTTCCCTCAACATCTAGGAAAAGGCATTATGGTCCCTTACGCTGCTCCTTCCACAAAGACTTACTTTCTATATTTTATCAAATTGTTTTCCACTTAAATTCTTTTGTTTGGAGCATAGGATGTGTAGCAACACAACTAAAAATATATTCAAATAATTTCTACTGGGAACTGAAATGATTTTGTCATCTTGCCACCTGGACAATATAACCATGGATCACTGCAGAAAGCTTATCTAAGTTTATTGCTGCTTTATATGTGCACGGCCAAAGCTGTGAAAGGCAACATAGCGAAACGGTTATCAACTTTGGCCCTGGAGTCAGACTGCCTGTGTTCAAATTGCAGCATCTCTTCGTTCTACACGTGGAACTTGGAATTTATTGTATATTGCTAAACTTCAGTTTCCACACACTTAAAATGAGAAAAATAATAGTACCTACCAATTGTACAGATAAAATGAGATAATCCACATAAGAGGGTACTACCTGTTCCCAAAGTGATATACAGATTTAATGCAATCCCTATTAAAACCCCAAGATCTGCAAAAATCTAGTTTTTTGCAGAAGTAGAAAAACCCATTTTAAAATTCACATGGAATCTCAAGGGACAACAAAAAGACAAAACAATTTTGAAAAAGAACAACAAAGTTGGAGGGCTCACACTTCCTGATTTCAAAACTTACTGCAAAAACTACTAGTAATCAATACGGTATGGTCCCAGCATAAAGACAAACATATAGACTATTGGAATAAAACAGAAATAAACTCTCACATATATGGTCAAATGATTTTTCAACATGGGTGCCCCAAGATCATTCAATGGGGAAAGGACACTCTTCCACAAATGTTGCTGGGAAAACTGGAAATCCACATGGAAAAAAATGAAGTTGGACCCTTACCTTACACCATATGAAAAAATGAACTCAAAATGGATTGAACACATAAATGTAAGAGCCAAAGCTATAAAATACTTGGAAGAAAACATAGAGAAAAAGCTTCACGACACTGGATTTGGCTATGACTTCTTGGATATGACACCAAAAGAAGAGATAAATTGGAATACATCAAAATTGAAAACTTTTGTGCTTCACAGGACACAAGTCAACAGAGTAAAATGGTAACCCAAAGAATGGGAAAAAATACTTGCAAATTATGTATCTGCTGAGGGGTTAATATCCAGAATAAGAGAACTCCTATAACTTAACAACACAAAACTCAATTTTAAAAATGGGCAAAGGACTTAGACATTTCCCCAAAGATACACAAACGGCCAATAAATTGCACATGAAAAGATAACCAACATCATTCGTCATTATAGTGAAACGCAAATCAAAACCACATTGCTAGAGCACATCCCACCCAACAGGATGGCTACCAAAGCAGACCAGACCAAACACTGTAGCATTTTTCTGTCAAACATGAGCACTTTGTCTTCTGGGTAAATTTCACAGAATAAGTATGATCTTTACTTGGCATTGCTTGTTTCTTTCCTTTTTCTCTGTGGAAATTTTATTTTTGACTTTAATATACAGTAATAGGACATGGTTTTAATATCAAAAAGTACTTTATTATCTCCTTGTCTGACCAAGAAACAAATTGTTATTATGGTGCATATTATCAAAATACCCTGTTAAGTTTTTTGAGAGGATTATTTAATCTTATTTATTGCGAAATGTAAAAACAAGACAACAAAATGGTACTCAGGGATTTATCTCCACTGAAGGAGACCCAATTTTTGTATCTGTTAAGAAAAAACCTTTAAATTCTAGAGAGGTTAAAATCAGATGACTTTTCAGAAAGATTACATGTCAGCTAATTCTTAATTCAGATACAGTATCTGGAATATTTGCTTAAAGATCTCATACTCTCAGCTGTTCTGACACTGACATATCTTCCCTTTCATGAGGTCATTTCTGAGGTCGTGCTGGTTTGGCCCACGTCCATATGAGTGCCCTCTAGAACAATGGTTCTCAACTGTCTTTGTATTACCTCCCTTTTCCCTTCTGTACAATTTCCTTAATCTCTAATATTTTATTTTTATTTTAAAGATTTTATTTATTTATTCATGAGAGACAGAGAGAGAGAGGCAGAGGGAGAAGCAGGCTCCCAAGGAGCAGGGAGCCCGATGCGGGACTTGATCCCAGGACGCTGGGATCATGACCTGAGCCGAAGGCAGACGCTGAACCATGTGAGCCTCCCAGGCGCCCTCTCTAATATTTTTAATTTCAGTAAATAAATTCTGACTCACAATCTTATACTACATGCTACTAGAAAATTCATGCTCTGAGATTCATATATACTCCAAGCATTTAAAAGAACCTAAACTGGGGTTACGCATCTGCCTTGGGCTCAGGTCAGATCCTGGGGTTCTGGGATTGAATCCTGCATCCACTGGGTTCCCTGCTCAGCTGGAAGTCGGCTTCTCCCTCACCCCCTTCTCCTCTCCCCTGCTGATTCTCTCTCTCTCTTAAATAAATAAAATCCTTTTTCAAAAAATTAAAAACTAATAGAACCCAAACTAAAAAATAAAAAAGATAAAAGAACCTAAACTTATTCATTAAAAATACTATCCACTTAACTATCTTGTGTGTGTGTGTGTGTGTGTTTGTGTGTGTGTGTGAGAAAAGCATCTAAACATTTTTATCTATGTATACAACTGTACTGGAAAGGATAATTGATCAAAAAATCTTTCTATTGCATACTTTCATTTGTGTTTCTAGTACTTGTTCTGATAATGTCCTACCATCTGCAACTGATAACCTGCCTTCTCAGCCACCTGCTGCCTCTGAAATACCTGTTATGCCATCTTTGCTCTATTTATTATTATTTACGGACAGACAGATCTAAAAGCTAAGCTTCTGTTCACACTGCTCAAAGGTGACCTGTTTGACCCCAATAAAGAGCATCTACAGGCGTGCTTCCTAGGCAAGTATTAAAATTAAAACCATTTACAAAAATCTAAGAATATGGATAACTGGAACAGGGACTCTTAAAAGATCTTTTAATGCTCTTATAAGTATAAACCTGCTACAGTTATTTCAAAAATAAGATGTTAAGCAATTTGCTATGCAAAGAAAGGACTTATGATGGAATAATGACCATTAACAACTTTACAAGACTGGTGTTTCAGCTGGAGATAAGGCATTTCCTTATAAATTTGGAAGACTGAAAAAGAACAGTATTTTAGGGCCTGCACCAACCAAGCAATCCCATATGGCATAAGTACAATAGAAATTAACTTCTTAATCTAAAAGACAACATACTGTAATAAAGTAAAACAAAATTGGTAAGATTACAAAATTAAATATTTTAATATTTAGGATATAATGTACACTTTACTAAAAATTTGATTCATATTAAAAGTTAAAGGCTATCTGATATGCATATTACATGAATTTGATTAATATGAAAGTTTTTAAATTCTCTTCTTTGTCATTCTGAAATCTCTCTAAATGTTCCTGTCAGCATCATGAAACACTTAGTGCTAATTATCTTGAAATTAAGTAGAGCCAACCCAAATCTGTGAGTAAACATGAAGAATTTTCTCAGATCCATACTCTGATATTTTTTTTCTTAAATAAAATGAGGCTTATCACATATAACCTAGTCTTTTGTTTGGATAATCCTGCTGACTTATACTTACTGTTACTATTTATTCTAATACAGCAAACTGAAAGATCTGTAATAAGTTATACTGAAAAATTAGAAAAAAAACCCTTTCATTAGAAATAATTTAAATACCAGAACTGGAGTGGATACAACGATGTTCATAAAGAGCACATTAGTTGTTAACAATCTTAGGAAGCGCTTCTTAAAAAAATCAAAAGATAAGTTCACTACTTTTTACAAAAGGCTTTCTCTTCATATCCCTATATCAGTGTGTATAACCCCCCACACTTCCTTGGTTAGGTGACAATAAAAAAGAAAATAACTCCTGAATATTTATTACACCAATATTTCAATTTTGTGGAAACATGCTAAAGGCACAATAAAGAAAATAACACAGTCTCAATAAGCGGACCACATAACGCTACTCTACTCCCACGGAGAATGGCTCCCCAGGTAGAGAACTGTAGGTACTTTCTTATTTCTACTCCACAATAAAAGTATTTAAATAAAAGTTAAATATCAGAAGTTAGTATTTGTGATAAAAATTTCACTTGACTTTAAAGCATAAGTCTTAAGTTGTAAGAAAACAGCTTTCCACAGCAAATTATAGTGCAACTGGCAGCATATATATGGGTAACATGTGAAAGTGACTATTTCCCAAAGTAGCCATGGATGTAGAGCATTATTTATATAAAGATTATATAACTTAATGTACTGAAATATTTACAGAATTACAGAATTCTAAGAAAATCTTTACCCTCATTTCTAAAGAATATTAATTTGAAGAAACATTTTGGCATTAACTGGTACAATAATTACTTACCTATTTCTTGTGCAGAACCAACTGAACAGCTGCAGGTTAACTTCTTTTTATGCACAGTCAGAATAAAAATTTTAAACATCGCAAATCTTCAATGAATAATAATTCTCTTGCAAACTTAGGAATTTTACAATAAGGTAGTCATCCCACTCTAAAAACTTCAGAATGTTTATGTGGGATTATTTTCCCTAAAACTAAAAACTGAAACATTAAGAGAAAAAAAATTTAAGCAATCTAATTAATACCTTTGTTTTAAAAACAAACAAAACGTTATAAACCTTTAAAAATCTGCTTTTTAAGTACTTAAGTTTCTGAAATCAAGCATATTGTACAATATGCTACTTTTGACTTGAAAAGTAGCAGCACGGAAGATCTCTTAATTGCATTATGTATATAGATCCTTGAGGAGTCCACAAATTAAATAAAAATTATATTCAACTTTCATTAAAATATCAGAAATCTTATTTAAAATCTAATATTCTATCATTTTAGATGCTTACTGCATTTGGTAACTACTGAAATGCTTTCAAGATAATGTAAAAAGCATTTCTTCCCTTTCCTTCCTTCCAACCAAAAAATCTCAAATTTTATGTGTGAGGCAATTTTTTCTTACATAATTTGCATTTCAAAGCCAGCTCCAAAAAATAGATAATCAAAAGTTTTAAGTACAAGTTTAAAAAAATAGCATATACCACTGAAAATAAACTATTTTCTTTTTAACTGAAATACTAAGTATTTTAAACTTTGTATAAATAACACACACAACCCCCCACCACCATATTTTAGGTATGGTTTCCACTTTGGAATAGCACTAAAACAAAGGACATAACAACAAATAACTCTTTATACTTAATTGAAAATATGTATCTCTCATTCGTCTTAAAGACATACATTATGAATTTTCTACTGGCATTCTTGAATAAAATTAACAAGCATACTTTTTCACCAATTTATCCTCATTTCTCCCTTGTATTTGAGAATCTAACAAAAGGAAATATTTTCTACGACTGCAAGAGATTTCTGAAACCCCTAAAATACATATTCTTTAGAAAAAAATTCCTAATCTATTATGCATCTTTAATAAGCACATACATTTAAAAAACAATCTCTTTTATGGCTTACGCTTAAATTTAATGCATGACCAAAGGTCCCAAGGATTGAAAATCTTATTAGCAGCCAACAGCTAAATGGATGACAATATTCCTGGCATTCGTAATCTCAAAATTTTAAAAGAAAACTATTCACTGTAGTCTTACAAAAATTTGGAGATAGTTCTATTTTAAAAACATACTCACCACAAACAGATACAAGGGAGACAAATAAGAAAATAGATTGTGTTATATCTTTGTAAACTTGTTCCATTTCAAAATGTATTCTTTAGGGTCAGGGAAATTTCCTATACAAATGAAACTAAACATTTGTTCCCTTTGCTTTGAAAAATATTTACAGTACATAGAACTACAAGCTAAAAGTGTACATCTGCTTATATTGCTGGCCAGTGATACAGATGAACAGGAACACAAGGTGCTTATTCAATTCTCTGAGCATCATAATTTGTATAGTGACATTATTGTATATCAACTATGGAAAAATTAGGAAACATTACCAATGAATACCAGTCCCTGTGTAAAACATCACACAAGATGCCAAGGTTTTATACATTCACTGTGGTAAAAACTGTACATACATATTCTGTGCATCTTCAGCACTGCAAAATTTACATTACAATTTTTTCATCTTTCAAAATTCTGAGTTGAAAAAAAGCCTATTATTTTCTTTTGCCAAAGAAAGGTTATGTTAACTGACTGATTAGGTTTGTAAAACTTTTTACAAAATTCTTTGCTAAGGACTTTCATCAAGTCTTTTCACTGATGTCCTCATGAAGAAAACTCACTAAACTTTGAAAGTTTTGAACGGATATTTCCACATCTTTGCTGGCTAGCATCATGACATACATAACAATGGTATATGTAATAATAGTCCACAGTAATGTGAAATACAAAACTTTGTTCTGTAAGTCTATTTTGGTCTCAGAGTGAAGTTCGTTTCTTTCATCCAGCCATGTTGTCCCTTATTTGATCAACTCGAAGAGCTAGGTCTCTAAAAGAGGGGCGTTGATTGACATTATTGTTCCAGCATTCTGTCATGATCAAATAAATCTAGAAAAGAGAAAATAAAACAATTACAATGAACATAAAGTGCCATCTTTTAATTGGTGGAAGACATGAATTGAGAACTCCCACTTAATTCTCCTATGTAGGCAAATGTCATGGTTATGCCTAGATCCACAGTCATATGATGATGCTATTTATCCGAGAGCTCAGCAAAGTAAATGTCATAAAGTGACCTGAAATCCCTGTGTAAAAAGGAAATAAAAACACCTCATGAATGTGGATAAAAAGGGGGTTTTTTTGGTTACCTCATCTGGACATCCATCTGGTCTTGGTAATCTTCCATTATTCTTTAGGAGTTCTATCAAATGAAACACAATCATCTGTCCTTGTTTGTCATTGCCAATCATACGCATAAATTCCTGTAATACAAACCCACTTTTCAATGAGATTTTTTTTTTTTTGGTATATTTAAATTGAACCAGCTTTCCCAACTTCTAGTAAGCGTGAAAAATTTTCTTTATCTATGTCTTCTTATATGTTTGAGACCTTTTAAGAACAAACTATTTTGGGCATCAAAACCTTTCTTTTCAATCATATTTCAGAAAAGACAATTGAATGTGGAACCCCTATCATGTCATTTCCATAACTATAATATACTTGGCACAAATTCCCTGAGAAGGGCCCGAAATAAGAGAACTAAAACATATTTACTTTTTTTTCATTGTTGTTTTAACATATCATATTATGTTTCAGCTGAAATAAAATGTTGACTGTAAAAGAGGACATAATAAAAAGATAATGCAGAATGCATATTTAAGCATAAATGCAATGGAGAGAAAATGTTCATATGTTAAAAATTCCTCAAATTAAAGTCTGAACTATAAGCTAGAGAAATATTTATGATGAACACATCGTTTATTTATAGAGAGTTATAGAGTGTTCTTATAAGCAGGTAAGGAAAATTATGAATATAAAAATGGGCAAGGCACATGAGATAATGCACACACATACATATACTCCAAATATCCAATAAATATGTACTCAATCACACTAATAGAAGTACAAATTAAAATCAAATAAATATAACTTCTATCAATTTGACAAAACCGCATAAACATATAATGGTCAATACTGGCAAATGGTACAAATGGTAAAACGTAAACTCTTATGCGCTATCATTGAGAGTAATATCTGGTACAGGTTTTCTGGAAAGCATTTTGAGATAATCAAAAACCTTTAAAAGAGTTCATAATCTTTTGTCTATAATTACACTTTCATTCTAAGGTGACGAGATAAATATTTATACATAAGGATGTTCACTATGTTCACTGAAGTATTACTTAAAATTAAGACTGAAAAATGGAAAAGAACTGTCCAGAAATTATATCCTTATGATAAAATGCTACCTGGAAGTTAGAAGTCATATTTGTAGAAAATATTTACTAATATAGGTAAAATATCCATGCTGTAGGACTTAATGAAAAAGCTGGATAGCAAACTATACAGTATGACCTTTATTGTATAAAAGATATAAAATTTTTAAAAGCCTGGAAGAAAACATACAACATTAAAATGGTTATCTTAAGAAGATG